TGTGTGTGTGTGTGTGGCACTGACGCACTATACCAGCTGTTGTTTAACCCCCATGCCTGCTTTATTTATTCAAACAAGCCTCTTCTCTCTCAGGACAGACTGAGGTACTGGTGCCCTGCCCTGCATTGTGGCAGGGCTGCCACTATCCGCTCCCAGGCTATTCTCAGAAGATCATGGCCCATTCATTGTGATACATAAACTAGTTACATCACTAACTGCAGACAGGCCCCTGATCTAATTCCTCAAAGACCCCAATATAGGTCGTTTTGACAGGTTGTTTACATATACATATTATAGAGGGCACTCACAGAAACACACATAAAGCCAATGAACCAATCTGGTGACTGCTAAACTTTTAAAGTTTAATAAGTAATAAGAAGTATTAATTGAAATAAGAAGTATTAATTAAATTATTCTTATCAAAATAAATGTGCTATGTTCTTAGGCTATAGTGTTTTGCCCTTTTTTTCAGTTTCTGTGGCATGTTTTTCTTTTAAAGCATCTTCTTGATTATCCTGTTAATAAATTAAAAGAATTAAAATAATTAGGAATGGAATAAAAGCATGCTTTGCACAATAACAAACACATTTTGAGTAGGGGTTTGATATAGACTGCTTTTATCTCTTTTTTTTCAGTATGCGGCGGCAACCCAAAGAAAGACCTGCCCCTAATAACCTCATGGTAAGTTAAACCAAGCCTTCCATTAAACAGTTCCAAGGACCACAAAATATAGGTGTTGAATAACTGTCTTCAGAGGGTGATCATATTCATGCATTCCAATAAAAATTCAATTAAACATAATTTTATTATCTTGGTAGTTTTGGGAGTTTACAATTGTATTTTTGCAATGATTGGGGTGTTCTGGGTCAAGGACCCTCCAAGTTGGTATTGCTGTCTGGAAAGAACAGTAATGAACTTGTTGCTGCCAATGAAAGGTGTCAGAGAGATGTCAGCAAGAAACCTTGAGGTAGGATTGAAACCTACTTCAGCAATAATTCGTTCAATTCACTGCATTGATGCTAACCTGAATGTATCAGGCCTAGTTTTTGTACAAGAGTCAAATAATTCTGGTTTACAAAAAATATGTTTCATAGCCTAATAAAAATTTGGGACAAAAGGAAATAATTTGTGTAATTTAATTTGTGTGTGTGTGTGAGACAGTAAGAAATTGTACCCAACACATTATAGACTTATTATTTTAACATGTTTCCTGTACAGAACATAATTCATTCTCAAAATCCTAAAAGTAAACTGTCATGGAGAAACCATTGCTGTTTTCTATTAATTTAAATCACAAAGTCAGTTTCAAATATTTAGGAGAAATTAAATATTCCTTGGTATGTTCTCATTCGTTTATAACCACCTGAAAACAAGAATCATGTTTTTGTTACCTTAGAATGAGCTGTTTTTACCTACATGTTGAACCACCATGGTCACCTTGTCCTACACGCTGGTCCCTTAACAGCCTTTGACAGATTGTACTTTGTGTCCACACTGAAGTATTAAAACCTTTAATTGGCTCCATTCCTATAGATTAGGTATATAGATTATGTAAACCAAAAGCAAAACATTCTAGAGCACACAAGAATACTAAGATTGACACTGTTTTATTACATTAAAAACAAAACAAGAAGGAGCAAACTGTGCATTTGGCTTCAGCAGATTTACTCGGTGCTTAAAGGTCCAGTATGTAGGATTTAGTGGCATCTACTGCTGAAGTTCCAGATTGCAACTCCCTCGCTCCATCTTCCTTTTCCAAGCACAAAGGAGAACCTATGGTGGCTACACAAACAGCCCTATCTAGAGCCAGTGTTTGGTTTGTGTTTGAACTCTGCTAAAGAGGACCCACTTGCTCTGTAGATAAAATCAGCTCATTCTAAGGTAACAAAACCACAATAATTCTTATTTTCAGGTGATTATACATTGATTAAAACATACCTATGAATATTATATGAATATTATATATATATGACTACATTCTTTCTAAATGTTACACACTGGACCTTGCAGGTGTGCCTTTAAATAATCAGCTGCTGAGTAGCAAATCATCCCAACAGGTTCACATTCCAATACAATTCAATAGGAAATTCTACTATCCAAAATTAGATGTTAATATTACATATGCATTAGACAATGAGGTATAATTACTGTCAGACTTAAAAAACTGGCTGTTCCACACAGTATATCTACTACAACCTTACATAAGATATGATAAATACAAAATGGATAATTAGATTAGGTATCTTCAGGTGTAATACGGGTTAGGAATGTCTGAAATTCTGAAGTTAAATTTTGTCCTCAGTACAACTGGATCGTGTGAAAGTTGCCATCAATAGGGGTGCCACTAAAAATATACACAGGAAAAATTCAAAAATTAAAATATATACACAGTCATTAACAAAAGCAAAACATAGTCTAAAAACCATGACAGTGTGTATGTTGTACCATCTCTGTCTGAATATAGTGTGTAGATATATCCATAGATTCTATGCTCTGTGTAGATTTTTACAGACAAAGGAGAGGACTTCAAGTTCCAGCTCCTCTTGTCAGTGTCTCTGAGTCATATATAAGCTAAACCACATATCTCCCTTCCAATGTGGACTGTGTTGTCTCCGTTCTTGCATTAGCACACAAGGCCTAGTGCAATTTGCACAAACTGCCTTTTAAGAGTTGCAACACACTCTTGTTTCTGTGTTAGGACCAAGGACAGGGACAGTTAGGTCCACAGAGAGAGGAGGGGTGAAGGTTTGTGTTGGGAGAACGGAGGGCTAGAGGGTGTAAATGCAGAGCTGCTAACAGATTGTATGTTCTCAGTCTCACACCAGAAAGGAGGAGTAAAGGGAAATGTTGTCTAGACACTCATTGGGAATTCTTGCCTCCAGACAAAAGTGTCTCTTGAGGAAGAGACCACGCACTACTTCTTTTGAGGAATTTCAGCTGGTTGTTTGCAGTGTGCTGCCTTGAGTACAACTTTTGTACTGAGTGACACCTTTTACTCCGATCATTAATACTTGTGTGTTAGTTCAAAAAATCAGTTTTACATCATTTTCTTCTCTGATATATATACTGAATACCTATTCATACCATCAATAAGAAAACGAATACTTGGCAAGACTGAACTGTGAGCTCTTTTTCACAGAAAGTTCTTGTGATTTATTGTCCTCCATGAATTGGATTCACAACCAAAGCTTTATTTCAACACGAAATAATGCAAGGACAAGGGTTACACCAATATTTATCTGACAATATGCAACTTATCCCCCAATATATGAACACAATTGATCCCAGGACCCAATTATCAATCGCTTATTATCAGTGGTGTCTACATTGTGATATATGTAATTCTCTAATATCTATACATTTCTTTAAAACCAATGAAACAAACCAGAAGTTAGCTGGCTAGAAACTGGGCCACAAAAAGACAAAAACATGTTGACAAACGAAAAAGTCTGTGTGTTAGTGAACTAGTGTTAGTAATTAAGTGAATTGAAAGAAGGTTGCAAAAATAATCTGAGCTCCTGGTCGGTAGTACCCTAAAGGACTTACAGGCACCCTGTGAATGATGCCTAACATTTGAGGAGCATTATCGTCTACACTCTTTACACTGCAGAGCAGCTAAAATGGCTGGTAAAATGTATTCTTCTAGACCACATAGACTAGACTAAATAGTCTTTAGTGATTCATGTGTGTTACATTATAGCATACGACCCACCTTAGACTACCAAAAGCATATTTGTTACTAAATTTAACAGGATGATTCTCAGGAAATTTCTCCACCCGCAATGTTTGAGGTATCGACACAGCTAGTCTGTCGAGCATCAGTGTTACCATTACTTGGCTATCCTTTCATCACTATGCGTAGCTTCCTTTTTCAATGAGGTCGCTTCCTGAGCCACAGACTGCTTTTCCTTCTGTCTGGGTTTTTATATTTTTTGGGTCATCGTGGCTCATATGCTGGCATTTTCATCACTGCTCCTGTCAGTGTTTCCTTTTTTTCCACTCTCCTCCAAATTTCTACTCTGCCCCACTTCCTTAATATTCATTGTGATCCTGTGCTTTTTTTTTTCTATTTTCACAGTTCTCTCTCTATTTTCTATTCACACTTTCTCGCCACCCCTCTTGTCTTTCCTTTACCTATATTTTTGTCCTCCTGTAGGCCTTTCATTTCTTCCTCTGGCCACGATGAACTGAGATATAAGGTCATGGATGCCTGCCTTTGTGGCACCAGACTGCTGATTGTCTTTCTCTCTCCTTCTCCTTATTCCCTCCTTCCTCCCCACCTCTCACTCTACCCCCAGCCTCTTGAGTACATTAAAACTCTTTACCTATTCTATCTGTATGTTAATGCACCTAGCCACATTTTGCTTCTCCTCTCCCTCTGCTGAACAGGAAGTGCCAGCGTTTGCTCTCAGTTTTTATCTCTGCAACTCATTTCTCCTGAAAAGTAATGCTGGAAATAACACAATAGTGTAGCTGCTGAGCAAATAGTGTTTTATGACCATACAAACTCACCTAGTAGCTCTAGTTTGCTCATCAGGTTGTGTGGTTTCTCTAATCACTGGTATAGCTTTTATTGACGTTATTTTCACAGGGATTTTATCCTATTAGACGTTCTTTAAAGGTCTGCTGTTTGATTGCATGCCTGCTCTTCATTGGTTCTGTCCCTGAAGCTTTAAACAGTATGCTGCAACTACTGGTACTGGATGCTTTGCTCATACTATTAATATTTGAGTTCAACTTTTTTTTATCATTTAACCCAACTAAAGGGCATTTTTCTCAAGTTAACGCTATGTTCCTAACATGAATAAACAGAGAGAGAACAGGGGCGATACAAAGAAAAAAGAAGTATAGTAGAGTACAATATGTAACAAGTAAATCAATGGCTTGTAATTTGATACCTTATCAAAAAGCCAATGGAAACCTTTAGTTGATCTGGGCCCAGATGGTTTGCACCATTACTCATGATGTTTTTGTCATTTTGTTGGATGCTAAATATCTTGCAGGCCGAGCTCTGTCTGGCTGCATCAAGCTCAATACTTCACTTGTATCAGTAAGAGATCTTTTCTTCCCATTTATTCCAAGTCTCTTCATTTGTAAAGAACATGATGACCCATCAGAGAGGAAAGTGAGTGTGTTTTTGTCTCCTTATACTAATGCATCTTTCATTGTGGAAACTCTATCCTGTCATCATAAGCTAATGACGTTGGTCAGTTGAGGATACTTTCCACTGGCCTGCTCCCAGGACGTTAGCTGCAGGTACTTGGTGATGACCTGTCCTGTCTGAGGTTTCTCGCTTTTGATTCTTTCTCCGCCCCCTTCTCCTTCAATACAAGGCCCAGTCTGTGCGCCTATTTGCTTATTTATTAAGCTTTGGGGCAAGAAAGACATAGTGTCTTTGTGACCCATTACATTTGTTATCATATTAGCTTGAATATTTGATATTTTCAGAAAATCAAATACGAATGATGTAACGCTATTTTGTGTGTGTGTGTGTGTGTGTGTGTGCTTGTTTTTCTGCTTGTGTTCATTTGTGTGTATGAGAGGAAAAAAACCCTTATATAGTTTGATTGTGATTTGATGGACATTTCATTCCTCCCTCCCCCCTCTCCCTCATCGTCCCTCGTTCCCCAGCCAGCAGCCTTCACACAGCCTTTTAGCACCCTTGTCAATGCAGCCCTCCT